GAGCAGTGGGTCCACAAAAGCGTGTAACTGAGCCCAACAAAAAATAAAAAGTTGGACCCGGACGAGTTTGAGCCTGGAAGAATCTGTAGCTCCCTATCCAGGAGACTTTGTAAAAATTAATTTTTAAGAGTACTATCTTAAAGAGCACAAAGTCGTGAATAAAATGAAGGGTTGCCGAATTTCCTACGATCTTCCGTTAAAAAGTTATAAGCTTCACAAAAAAACAGAGTTTTTTTTAGTAATGCTATGATAAATTTCGTTTTACGATGCTTATAACTTTTTAAGAGAAGGTCGTAGGAAATGCGACCACTCCTTATTTTATTCAGGATTTTGGGCGCTTTAAGTTGGTACTCTTAAAAACTAATTTTCGCAGTTTTCTGGGATCTGAAAACTATTGTATTGCATTTTTCAGAAATCTTTATCTCATACTCGAGCTATGGAAATTATCAAGTCTCTTTGAATATTGTTAAATGATTAACTCTTTTGTATTTATTCAAATTTATAAACTCTAGTTTAATATTTCTTGAAGTCAATGAATAACTCACCGACACATTGGATCAGCAATTCGAACAATGACACAAGCATCTTCACCACAACTCATACATTTTCGATTAGTTGGTGTTCTGTAAAAGATTTTAGAATATTAACAAAAATGAAATTTCTCTTTCCAAATAACAAATACAAAATTATATTTTCATAAAATTTCATATAAACCTACTTATTTATTGTAGATTTAAGTGCTTGAAATATTTCATCGTCCTCTTCGTTTACTTGACACATATCTGCAAGGCTAAGAAGTTATATATATATATAAATATTTCTTGTTTTGTTTTTTTTTTTTCATAATTTGTATGAAAAGAAAAAGAGTTGTTATTATTAAGTTTTCGTTTGTTTTCGTATTTTTTTTTTTCGTATGCTTATAAAGGAAAAAAACAAACAAGCAAAACAATATCGATTACAAACGAAAAAACAATGATGATAATAATAATTTATTTTTTATTTCTTTCTTTTTTTCCTGTGAACAGAGACAAATAATATGATATTTTAATATGTCTCATGCTAAAAGTACACAAGCACCACCAGCTGCCTTAATTTTTTCTTCAGCACGTCGTGAGAAAAATTTTGCCTTGATAATAAGTGGTTGCTTAGGTAAAACACCTTTACCTAATACTTTGAAATAACCTGATCGTACAACATTAACAACAGGTACGACAGAAGATTCATCTTGAGTATATTTTTCTTGTGCTCGTTGACTTAAAAGTGACCATAAACGATCAAGATTAACTGATGGACACCAACGACGATTTTTAAGTTTATGAAATTCACGTTGACCAACTTTACCAAAGTAACCCGGATGATATTTATCAAAAAGTGTACGATGATGATGAAGACCACCAGCATTACCACGACCACCAGGATGTTTACGATGTTTACCAACACGACCGTGACCATGAGAAACATTACCTAAAGAAAATTTTCAATATAAAATAATATAAACTTTTTATCAAAATTGATTGTAATATACATTTGAAAAATATTCAAACAGTTTTTTGATATATACTACGTATAAAAACTGTTAGTACAATTCTCGAGAAATACAATAAAGAAATAGTTAATAGATTCTAACAAAGTCTTATTCATATACGATCTGGGATGGATGGATTTAAATTTCCTACACTTATACTTCAACAATGCCTGTTAGATCATTTGCAAAGCTTTGCGGGAAAAAATTTCATGCATGTTTTTTTAGATGTGAAATTTGTCTTTGTAAGTATCTTTACACAAATTTTATAATGAAAGTAGTTAGTTTTGATATTTTTGAAAATTGGATAATTCGCTTATGCAAAAAGACATCTCTGAGTTAACATACCACGTAATTTAGTTTTCTTTGGTTTTTTATTTAATCGTGAATTTCTTGCTGAACCACGTGCGGCCATTTTTGATATAAGATTTTATTAATTTTAAATAGAGAATTTATCTAAAATAAACAAAAACTTATAGTTTCTAATGTATATATTTACTTTTGTTCATGGTTAAGTAACCAATATTTAACATTATTTCGTTTTCCTCCTGAATAATTTCCTATATCACCATTAGAACGAATAACACGATGACATGGTACTAATAATTGAAATGGATTACAACGCATAGCTGTTCCAACAGCACGTGCAGCGTGTTTATTTCCAGCTAATTCAGCTAATTGACCATATGTTACTGTTTGACCAAAATGAACATTATTTAAAAGTGTACGCCAAACATTTTCTTGAAATGAATCGTTTTTCGAAACAATATTTGGACAAAGTTCAGGTATTTTAGCTAAATGATTTGGTGAATGAAAATAAGTATGAAGCCAATTAAGACATGATTTAGGTATTGGAATTTTACCAGATGATGATTGAATTTCAATTGTTTGACTAAAGATAATAGATTGTTGTTGTTGCTTTTATGAAATGAAAAAATATTTTTATAATATTAACTTTTCATCTGGTATAAATGATTGATCATTGATTGTCGATATTTGACAAATAGAATGAAGACCTTTTTGACAATAAGATATTATTAAATCACCTATTGGTGATGAACAAATTGATGATGAAGTTTCACACATTTTTTGGAGAATTTTCATAAAAAAAACTAAATGAATATGAAGAGAAATAAGCAAACAACCAGAAATTACCAAACTGTTTTATGTAACCAATAAAAATTGAGTAATCCATCAATATGATCCTTTGCTCTTTAAATAATTTTTCAATGAAAATAACTATAAATTAAATTTTTTTTTATTAAAATTTATCAAACTTTTCAAAAAATATGATGTAATATGTAGACAATAATATCGAACAGTAATATTTTTTTAATTGGTTAATTATATTCACTTAGAATGTGGCGCTCTTGTCTTGATGATCAAAGATCTTATTTTTTCAAAACCACTTAGAGGTAGTGCCCCGACGTTGCCTCAGGATGTCGATCACAGGATTTTTTTCTAAAGTTAAGTGCATTTGGTAGGAGAGTTCGCGATTTATTGGAAATCGATGAGTAAAAAAGATAACAAAATGCTGCAAACCTGTTGGAGAACAACGAAAATTTCTTAAGATTGGGAAGTCATCCCTGAATATCTATTCACATCAGGAAACACTCATTAGGATTCATAAAGACAAAATTATGCTACTATTTTGAAATATTGTCCTATTCAAATCACCGGATAACTCTTGAGACTTTTAGCCTTAACAGATAACATTATGTCGCAGCTAACTTTTAAGGAAATTGTCCTTTGTTCATTGTTCCTTCTTATATAAATCAGTGTTTTATCGACAGTTTCCCTTCCGAAAGGACGAAAATCTTTTTTTGGGTTCATACTACAATAACTACCAATCCCGAGAAAGTCAACTCGATTCTGGAAGCGGCACTGCCTCCTCGGCCCTCACGCTGAATAAAACAATGATATGTAGAAACAGATTTTTCTCCACTTTTTCGTCAGCGTTATTTTTGTTGTCTTCACTTCCGTATTAGGCTGTCTTTTTCTAGTTATCGTCATTGTTACCCCATTATATATATACTCAATAAACAAACTTATAAACCGATCCTACGTCTTCATCAGAGATGTTTATTGTGGCTGAAAATCTGCTGCTGCCGTGCTACGATTTTAGAAGATACAAGGCTTGCGGTGGACTACATAAAAAATTGTCGCTGTTGCGATGATATTCAAAAAATTCTTCTAAAGTCTTTTCAGTTACTGTGCTAGATTAACACAGTTATGATTGAATCCATCAGGTGCACCATGGTGCTGCGTGTTAGACTTGTAGATACTCAACTCCTTAGAAAAGATATTGAAATATCTCCCGCATCGTCATGAATGTCTCTGGTCTCCATCCTACAAATAGTCAAGTTTCCGGTAGGAAGCAAATTTTACATGAGTTCTTGTAGCTCTATACTAACCAAGGATTCTAATAATTATCTTTCGGTTTACTATACAACGCACGGGCAGGAAAAATTGATGATTAGCTGAGATTCTTACAGAGACTTTTGTAGCAACACACTCAAAAGATCGTGATTGGAGTAAAGTAGTGTCCTACAATCTTAGAGTACATCCATGAAATATAGTATCAATGATGATAATTAGTACAGTTCTCGTTATTCCGATGGTAGGGCAACGTCTGGCATAGCCCATCTTTGATTACGCCATTAGACTTTTTTGACGAAGTGAGATATATTATTTATGACATACGCTTCATATCATAGACGTAAACATATAAAATATTGCGTGTAAAGAAAAGATGAATAACAATGATCAACAGAAGGTTTTATTATTAAAAAAAACAAAACAACTGACTATCAACAAAGCTATTGAAAAATAAACTATGGCATAATCATTAGAAGTCGCGTCATTGACTTGATTCAACTTTTTCAGAACAAGATTCTTTTTTCGAAGTAAAATACTAAAACATCGAGTTAGTTAAAGCAAATTGATTTTTATTTTTAATCAGTGCTATTGATCTTTCAAATGCTGGTACGGCGTATATGTAAGTCGCTCGTAACAAATCATCGAAAAGTAGTACGTATCAATAGATGTGAACTGATCTGAAAATGGTAAATGCCTAGATGCGTCTCCCATGTTGAAAAGATTAAATACAGGCAGAAAAAAAACGATCTTATCTACATTGATTTTTTGCTTGAAAAAAAATTCGACAATGAATCGTAAGGTAAAACTTCATAAAATAAGCGATGATTTTTTTTAATTTCTTGTTGATTGAAGTTTTTATTTGTTTCATAATCAGAAGTTTTAATATTATTACATAGATACAATTGATATATAATTTTTCTGTTGAAAGTAAAATCGTTGATTTATTTGTTTTATATAGTTTGCTTAAATCTATACGATATATGTTTAGAAAAAGATTAAATATAAACGAAAAAAAAGTAAATAGAACATTTTATTAATATTGTCAATAGAAATCATATATATATATATTTTTTTTTACCGGAAACCATTCTCATTATTATTATACTACATGTTCATAATATGTCTTCATCAATGGATATTTTTGTGTGGCTTCATAGGATGGTGGTTCGTAACATTGTTCATAAATATGGCTAGACAATGTATCTGATTCGATTTGACGATTTGAAATATGAGAAAGATTTGATGACTATAAAAAAAAATAGAAGAATATTTACGAATGTTGATAAAAACAAAAATAAGTTGAATGTATAATACAAATGAAGTATTTACTTTATTTTGTTGATATCTACGAATAAGATATTTAATTAAAATAACCATACCAATTAAAACAAGAAGAAGAATAGTAGCAGCTGGAATAGTTGAATATAATTTAATAAGTTTTTAGAGAAATTATATGGAAAAATATTAGCACAAAAAATTTTCATAGACGAAATTAATTAGTTGAATAATATATATATATACATTGAAAAGATCAAAACATAATTTTCTGCAAACATTTTTTCCATTGACAAGAAAGATGTTAAAGCTATTCTCTAGAATTTTTTCGTCATTTCAAATCTGTCTTGTAATAAAGCCCAAGTACTTCAAAACTTAAGTATCCATGAAGTATTCGGGTATTATTTACCGGACAGATTTGAAATAACTAAAAATTTTTAGAGGATAATTTTGACATATCCTTGAAGTACGAAATTTTTACTTTTTCTTCCTGGCTCCTTATTCATCTGTCTTTTTAATATTAAACATACCAACATAAAATTTGAATCCTTTGAGCAATTGAAAAAGAATATTATTGTCATCTATAGTATAAAAAAATAAATATTTTTAGAAGTTCATAATATGTAAATATAAATTGTTATATAATATCTGACCTTTTACAAATATCAATACAATTACTTAATGATTTTCTTGTTTTCATTAACTCCTAACGAGTCAATATTTATTTACCATACTCGATTTATAATCCCCCCCCCCCCTAATATCCTTTATTATATGGAGAATCTAGCTTTGGCTAAAAAATGCAAGTGTCGAAGTGAGGATGAGAATAAACCCCAATACTTTTTTTCTTTCGTTTTCCAATATTATTTGAATAAATCTCTTATGGTTATATAATAATTTCTATTAATATTAACTTACAATCTTTTTCAATGTTCTTACATGCTCGACGATCTTGTATGGTTTGACATGGTACATAATGAAGCATTTTACAAGCTAAATCACAACGTATATCATCTTTTGGTGGACATGAATAAAGATTGTTTATACACAGTTCTTTTTTTTTTTGGAAATAAAGAAATTTTAATTTAAAGATATTATGAATTGAAAAACTTACTACAAAAATGTCCTTCTTCATCAAAACGATCATAACAATCAATAATTCCATCACAAAATTGTGACCAACGTATTGTTCGATTACCGCCATCACATATATAATCATTTGATAGTACCATTATGTTTTGTCTTTACTTCTAAAGAGTTAGTTAATACATAGTAATTCTTTCTTTTTTTTTTTTTTTTTTTTTTTTTTTACATTTCTTTGTTTATGATGTAATTGATATGTAAGAGAACAACTCGAAGTGATTTCCTTTTCTTTTTCTTTTTCTCGCGCTTGTATATGAGAGTATTAGTATAAACTAAACAGCAGTTGTCTGTCTTCTTCTTCTTCTTTGATACTGTACAAGCAGATAATGATCTTGCTTAGTTGTTAGTTAAATCAAGTTATTTCCATTAATGCACATTCTTTTTCACATTTATACAGTCAAAACGTATGATGACGACTGTTGCACACATACTGCCGCCATAATCAATTGCACATTTCTACGTCTGATGAACTTACGTCAAAATGTCATAATATATCTTTTTTTTTCTGTTTCTTCTTCTTCTTCTTTTCTTGTCAATTAATATAGCGTTCAATTAGATTGTTCATCGGTCAGTTTCGATTTCATTTGCTTGAATGAATAAATATGATGGAAGAATTGTTCTCGGACCGTCTGATTGCTAATGATAATGAATTATCGTTCACTTTTCGCTTGATAGTTTCTTTTATTTTATCCTGCATTTTGCTATATCCTTTTTTGATGATGGAAAAAAGGAAAAAGAGAAAAAGAAATGAGATGAAAAGAATTTTTAAGTAGCATTTGTAATGGTAAAACTAAGTCAAATAGAGTTGTATGTGTGACTGACTATATAAATAGGCGTATATATTTACTATTAGAATTGTATATGTCTTTCCCACTTAAAAAAAAGTAAGGAAAAAAAATTGATGATATGTCAAGTCAAATCAACTATGCATTTGATGATTATTGTTAAAAAGAAATTAAATTTTTAAGTTATTAGTTTTAAACTTTGAAAGTCTGATTATTCATTATAATTCGATTTTACTAAAACCAAATAATGATTGACAAAGATTTTTTTTTTCTTTCAAATTCATGAATTGCTTTTTTATTAAGAAAAAATTCTGTAAGAAGATAATAAATTATTAATAGAGTGTTTTGGTGGTGATCGTTGGGTAAAATTTTCTACTCGAGAATGAATTATCTGCATAGAACGCTGACCATAGTGAGAGATACTAAGGTATGATACCCTTTCAATTAAGAAGACTTTATATTCCTCTTCTTCCAATCAACCATACAGTTAAAAATAAATTTATTTCTTTTATATGATATAAGACTGAAACATTTTTATTTTATGCATTAAATTTAAATCTAATAACAAACGAATAAATTCGAGGGCAACAGTTTGTTTTGTTGTTTTTGAAAATCTATTTTTATAGAAATCGATCTTTTATATCTTAGGGAGTCAAATACAAAACATTGGCATAGATAAAGATATGTCAGACAAACTATTTTACCATTTGACTTTTATCGAGAGCTTAACGATCTATTGTAAAAAAACAACAACAACAACAACAAAAATTTTATCAGACAATGACAGATTAGACAATTAAATGACAATGTCAAAAGGTCTTGAAACGAAAAACAAAAAAACTGAATACTAAAATTTTTGTTAGAAATTTCAAAATAGAATACATATAATTAGATTATCGGACAAATAATAAATCAGATTTTTATTAAATTTGTACGAAAATTTAGTTTCTTTATTCTGTGATAATCAAGTATTCTCTTGTATTCAATCAAATGAAAAAGATCATATCGATGTAGCAAGAAATATCAAATTAACGTATAAATTTTCATTACAGTGTGATCAAGCGTTATGAAATTTTATTGTTTTCCAGAAAATCACAATTTAAGTCAAGATTAAAGCAATCAATATCGTCAAATACTGCATCAAATGATATATTTTTCACAATTTTCGGATACAAATAAAATTCCGTAACACAGTATTTCTGCAAAACAGATACGAAAATTAAAACAAACTAGGTTCACGAGCGAACATTTCCTCCGTATCAAACTGCTTTTGAGTCCGGACTATGTACATCATGTAGGTTATAGTTGAGCTACGAATACCATGAAAACAGTTTCGGACTAATAAATTATTACTGTCGAGATACTGTATTTTTTAGCAGAATATCGTGATCCCCTCAGGAAAACTAAGTTTCGACTTGAAACTTTTCATAGAAACAAGTCTAGCTTTTTATGATAGTTTCAGATTTTTCCATTATGCCTATTTTGAAATAAGAAAACCGAAACCTGCCATTGTATATAATCAGCGTGAAAAATGTGCTTTTACCATAGCTGTATCTTGGAATAGAAGTAATCAAAAGATCTGAAACTTTTGCAATAAACTATTTTCATTAAGGCCTGTCTCTGTGCAAAGTTTCAAGTCGAAATTCGAAACATAGTTTTCTTGAGGGTGTCATGACAATACTGTATCTCGGCAGTAATAAACTATTAGTCTGAACACTTTTCAGAATATTTGTAGCTCATACACATAGTTCCGACTCAAAAGCGATTTGACACTTAAAAACGTATTCTCGCAAGTATGGCTGTGTTTGCAATTACTTGTTGATTTCTGTCCATGGAAAAAATGGCAAATTTCGCTCCTTCTTTCCGATTTTTTTCAGTAGATCATGCTCAAAAATGAACTGACACGATCTGTAATAGACTTTGAAGCGAAAATTAGCAATATAAGCGCATTTTATTACAGATTTTCATGAAAAATACAAATGGTTTGTAAATGTATTATCTTGCTTGTTAGACATCTAATATTTATTTAAATGACTAACATTTTTCTTTTACATAAATTTTTAAGTTAGCAACTCCTACGAAAGAGATTCACGTGTTTAAAATATTCATGACTTCTCAGGATTAGAAACACTTTCGTTTCATACACTATCGATCATGTTCTTTTGTAGCGATAAACTTAGTTTTCTCTTTACATTTGAATTTGAACCTCTCCTATGTGTGGGTGATCGATGAGTGGTCATGAAGATTACTGTCAAAAAGTTTAAACTACATATTGTTTTTTTTTTTCTTCTAACAATTTATTACTTGAAAGAAAGGGATTATCGATGTATGAATATTCTGCTAACTAAATAGCAACGATGGATCACATACCAAACGCAAACACATTCGTCCTTCAACCTTATATTTATTCTTTGTGTCTGTTTTATAAAAAAAACAAAGAAGATCACTGCATCGCCTACATATTTTACTTAAAAAACAACCGCAAAAGAAAAAAAAACCTAGGATTAACCTTTACGTGGTTTTAGAGTTAAAGAATAGCAGTACATGCTTAGTTTTATGCATGTTATAACCACGTATTGATTATTTCAAGAAAGTCAGGCCTGTCGGTAAGCTTTAAAAAGGACGTGTTATTTCGATTGCTTTTCATTAGAAACAAAACAAAAAAACTACAAAGAAACAATGATATTCTCATATCATCATAGTATTTTATATCTTTTCACAACGTTATTTATTACTGTCATTGGTCAAAGTAAGTAATTATGACAAAAAAAAAGATGTCTATTAATAATAACATATTTTTATCTCTATAGGAACATGTGAAGATTTTTCTGCTGATCAAGATTGTACAAAATTTATTCGATGTTTTCATAATTTACGTATTAAATTTACATGTCCATCTGGTACAGCATGGGAAGATTCATTAAAAACATGTGCATGGAAAGAATATGTTGAATCATGTAATGAAGAAAGTTCACCAAGTCCACGTCATCTCGGTAAGTCATTGTTTAAGTTCTTTTGATGATTTTTTTTTTCTAAATTAATTTTATTATTTCAAAAAAGATACAATTGATAATACAATAGAAACATATGAAGCTGATCCACATGCTCTTGATAATATTACAATTAGTCAAACATTAGCTGAAGCACGAGCACTTGGTCCAATTGTAACACCTAAACGATATCAATGTACATACTGTACTGTTGGTGTTTGTAATCCTACTATTAATACTGTTCAATGTTTGTGTGGTACTATTCAATGTCCACAAGCAACAACACCGCGTATGAAATACATTATTTTCTGTTTATATGATGAAAAATTTGTTATTATTTATTTTTCTTAGCTCGACCACGAAGTCCATGTGATCAAAATCCATGTAAAAATTTTCTATTTAAAATTTTTAAATCAAAACAAAAATTAATATTTATGTTTAGGTTTGAATGGTGGTCAATGTATTCCAAATGGACAAGGATTTCTTTGTAATTGTCCATCAACACATGTTGGTAATCGTTGTGAAGCTCCAGGTAAATGATTTTTTTTTGACAAAAAATTCTTACTAATCTTACAAAATTTTTACTATTAGCTGTTACAGTATGCCAACCAAGTCCTTGTCAAAATGGAGGAGCATGTATACCTCAAGGTACAACATTTCTATGTCGATGTCCACCAACATTTACTGGTCGTTGCTGTGAAAATCGAGTAACAACAACACCATTTAATCCATGCACTCAATCACCATGTCGAAATGGTGGACAATGTATTCCGACCGGGACATGTGTGTTGATTTTATTTGTATTTTTTCTAATAAAATATCAATTTTTTTATTAGCATATCTTTGTCAATGTCGTACAGGATTTTATGGTTCACAATGTCAAAATCAAAATTATTGTATGCCAAATCCATGTGCTAATAATGGTTTGTGCCAACAAACGACTACCGGTTATATTTGTACATGTTCTCCTCCATATACTGGTACCAATTGTCAGCAGAGTATGTTTAATGTTGATTTCCTGTAAAAGAAAAACAAATACAGGATTGCGACAAATAATTTTTATTAATATGATGAATTGTATGTTGTTGTTTTTTTCTGTTTAGTTATGACTACATTACGCACTACTATTGCTACACAACAACCATGTCCTTCGTGTCCATGTGTAGTGACACCATGTCCAACGGTTGTTGTGATGAATCCATGTACGCCAAATCCATGGTTAGTTCTTTTTTTTTAATTGCTTTTGTTGATGGTTTTTTTTTCTTTTGTTTATTCAGTCAAAATGCGGGAGGATGTGGAGTTCAAAATAATGGA